CAGGTTATCCACCATTTGATGATAGAGCTCACAATCATTTTTGATATATATGAAGAAGGTTTGCAACCACCAATACTACCTGAAATGCCTGAAGATTATGTGCAAATGATGCAGAGGTGTTGGGATGTGGATCCATCAAAAAGACCAACTAGTAGAGAGCTTCTCCTATTTGCTATTAACAAACGTAATGAAGTTATTAATGATAATAATAGTAATAATGATACTACTACTAGTAGTGGTAGTAGTGCTTCACAACAAGCATACGAATCGCATCCAGATGCATATCATAAAAGTAGAATACTAGATGAAGAGATTGCTAAATCAAAAAGCTTAAAATTTTATACAAGTAATGATAGTTCGTTAAATAGTCTTGATTTTAGCACTTTTCTCTTAAATGCCGAAGGTAAATAAAAACTCCGTTATTAATTAATTAATTGGAACTCACTATCCATTAATCATTACTGACAACATTTTTTAATTCTAATATTTAAAAGAAAGAATCGATGAATGACCAATTTAATCTCCTAAATTATTCGTTATAATTATTCGTCTTTTTATTTTATCTTTGTTTTTATTTCTTAAAGCTAAATTATTTTGAAATAATAAACTTTTCACAGTTTTTTGGTTCTTGTTAAATGGTGATATTGCAAGGTATTATTTCAGTTAATTATTTAACAAGTTTGGCTACTCTTGTCACTGATTGATGATTTTATCTACCTCGATCATGTATCACCATTCTTAATATTAATATAAGAAATGTTCGGGTTTAGTAGTAAATGAGAGATTGGGATACAAAAAAAATATAAAAAAGATCTTGGAATACACATTTATAAGTTTTTTTGTGAGTTAGCAATTTCACTTGCGTCATTTTCGACTTAATGGCAGCGAATAGTTTTACAACTTTGGTGACATTTCGTCAAACAACATTACATGTTTGCACAAACATCCCACCATCATCTGTTCTATTATCTCTGGCGTTAGGTTCAATCGATAAATGTAAACCAAAAGATCTGGCATGACTCTAGAGTATTTTCTTAAATTTAAACGACCTCCACCACCTAACTGGAATGAATACCTCGGATTTATATTAAGATCGTATAACAAATGCCAATTTTGTAAGAACTAAAATCAATTGACATTTAAGAGTCAAGACGTGTGATAAATGTTTTAATGCAAGAACTGTAGTCATAAAGTAAATAAATAAATAAAAATGTATATATATATATATTTATATATGTATTTTTTTTTTATATTTGTGTTGATAATGATGTAAAATTTTAGAAAGGAAGCAGTTGAACAAATTCCTTCATTTTTTGGGTTACCTCGTACTAATGTTGTTAGAAAGACAAACCGGTCTATGAGTATTAGGAAAGAGATGTCGTTGAAAATTTAAAAAATTTGGTGAATATGGACATGAATATTTTAATGACCCAACAACATCAAAAGAAAGAATAGATTGAAGAACGAACACTTATCTGTATGCAATTCTAGAAACAGTGAATTTCATTTAGCAAGTTATAAAAAATCTGTTAAAGAATTAAATCAGCTTGTGGATCCAATTATTGACAAGGAACTAGACATGCTTTAAATCGAGAGCTTTATTTTATTTTGCCAAAATGAGAGGACGGCCTCCAAAAAAATATTGGAACAAAATTGCGGCTGAGTTTACCATTGGAGCAAAAAAAAACCAGCAAGGCGAAGAATTATGCTTGACAAACTATTGAGAATGTGGTCACTTATAGGCAGCAATGCTAAACTTGCGGATATATATCTTGAAGAAATTGATAATTCTCCTAGAATAGATCTCTTCGCAATATTAGAACCATGTCCTAACTATAAATATCCACCTTTATTAGCGAAAGATTTCTTAGTTTGACTCCGATTCCACGATTATTTGAAGAAACAAATCAACTTGACCCTTTCCTGAAGGAAATATTGTATCAATAAAATCAGCATTAGCTATGGGAATCAAGGCACTTATTTTTAGATGCATGTCATCACTATGCCAAACTGATAATTTTTATACAGCCAAATCTATAAAGGAACATCTTAACAGCTACAAAAATAATATTATTCTTGAAAAAAAAGCTTGAACATGAAAAGGTTTGAGTGCAAATAAATAAATCTACTAATTTGTTTACAAACCCTGTCGAATGCAATAATAATAAGACAAGAACAAAAGATAAGCCGGATGTTAAAGTAGAAATTGAAATGAACAAAATACACAATGGATTTGAAAGAATCCAAATAGTTTGAATTTATATTTTTATTATTTTCATCGATTGCTTTTTTTCTTATTTCCAAAAAAAAAAAAATCAAGTTTATAACATGAAAAAAAGATTTTAAGGTTGAACTGAATTTTTTATATAATAAGATCTTATCAAATTATGGTTTCTTTGATTTTAATTTCCTTTTAAGATATTGAATCTTATTCATATTTTTGTTTTTCCAAAAGATCTAGTTTTTTTAAAATCATTAATAGTAGAATAAAAAATAACTAATTATTATTTATTTAGGAGAATTGATTGTTTCGAAACATATCTTTCCAAGTGCGCTCTACTTTATTGAAGGTCGAGAGTCTTTAATTACCTACCGATAATAATAAGATAGTAAAAAAATAAAATGAACGGTTTAGAAGATTTAAACGAAACTATTATTGTGGCTTTACGACCTCTTTCCTGCGCATTAGAATAGGTTGATTGGCATAATTAGGTGATGATTGTCAAATATGATAATTTTCTCAGATTTTGACTCGGGGACTTAATTCAACTTTAGGGTCCTTCTTATTATTGAAAGACAGACCCCATATATTTAGATCAAAAAAATTTTTATTGTAAAAAAAAAAATTTAATTTCTTCACCACCTTTATTCATTAATAATTAATTGATTGAATTCTCCAAAAAATGGTAGGTCACTTGCAACGCAATTTGCAAAACAAGTTAACTGCTTTGTTTAATTATTAAATTAACATTTATTCTAATCTATTAATTCCTTACTAATTAATTAATTAATTATTTATTTATTTATTTATAGGCCAAGAGAACAAAAAAGGTATTGTTAACATTGACATTATTTTGCATTCATTGATATTATTATTTTCTTAATATTTTGTGATTTGTTTAATAAATTTGATCAAGTTATCATCTTCTGAATTTTATTTCTGTAGGTTGGAATTGTTGGTAAATATGGAACTAGATATGGTGCATCACTAAGAAAACAAATTAAAAAAATGGAAATAACCCAACATGCAAAATATACTTGTGCTTTTTGTGGAAAGGTACTCTCAATCAATCAAACCAATAATATGATTAATTTAACTAATATGTCTACCATTCATTAATATTATCATTTTGTAGGACACGGTGAAAAGAAAAGCAGTAGGAATTTGGAATTGTAGTGCGTGTAAAAAAGTATTAGCAGGTGGGGCATGGACTGTATCAACAACAACTGCTGCTACTGTTCGTTCTACTGTTCGTCGTCTTCGTGAATTGATGGAATCTTAAATCGTATATAAATATATATATATTATATTATTATTATTATATATTGTTTTTATTAAAAATATTAAGAGAGATGAATGTAATAAATAATATTTAATTTTTATTGCAAATCATTATAACTAGTATGGATATACTTTTAGATACATTATCAGTAGTCAATAAAATAGTAATGTTATAAAAATGTCAATTAACTATTTACTAATTTATCGATGATAAGAAATCAGTTAGGCTAAATTGATTCATAGAAATATCATCATTATTTCTTTTTTCTTGTTCTAATAATTTTTGAAGTTGTATTTTTTGTTTCTTTTTCTTTGATTTACTGCTACTGCTACTACGATCAATATTGTTATTATTAGAAGTAATATTATTCCCAATATTTCCAATATTTTTGATATCTTTCTTTTTGACACCGATGAATCTTGATTCACGCTTACATATATTGCAATAATATGATATATGATTTTTGCGATGTTGATTTTTACTAGACGAGGAAGAGGAGACTTGATCTTTGAACAAAAAATTGATCATTGTTGATTTAGAATTGTTTTTATCATTATCATTATCCGATTTCATATAAATTATTTGATGGTTTTTTTTTGATTTTCTTGGAAATTTAGAGATCGTTGTGACCTTAGAAACTTTAGTTGCTTTATCATTTTTATCATTATCATTATTAATGTTCTTATCATTATCTTTAATGTCATTATCATTATCATTACCATAATTACCATCCACATTATCATTATCAATATCCATATTATCCTCGTTATCTTTTTCATTAATACTATCGTTATTATATGTACTTTGTTTACTTGCTTTTCTTTTTTTTTTTTTTGTTGACTGTTCGATTCTAACTCGACAATTAAGTCCAGGCAAAAAAATTGATCCACAATAACTACAATACTTATTTTTCACATTATCTGCAAGATTTATATCTTTTTCAATACTGTTTTGGTTAAATTTTTGCATGTAATAAGCTGATAAGTTTGGTACATTTGTTAGTAAGGTGTGTGATGCATTCCATAAAAATTTCAAATGTTTGGTTGTTTCTTGACTTGCCATTTTTTTTTTTTAGAACGAAATAATTTTGGTGGTACAAAATCTTCGGGACTTGTTTGTTATCCTTGAAAATGATTTTTGTTAACAAGTAAACCTTATTACACACTAAATCAGGATCCTCCCTATAGCTAATTGTGGCTTCATAGAAAGTCATCATTGCTGCTGCTGCCACCAGCTAGACATATCCTGCCACAGTTAAAATGGCAGCAGAGAGGCCAGTAAGTCCCCCTTATAAATGGATCAGGTCTCTCTCCACAAGTGTTTGTGTGCAAAAAAATGTTCCTCGTGTTACAGGAAGCATTAACATCTCAATCCCAATGTGTCAGATGGACTGATTTGCAGATTCTGACAGACCAAAATTTTTGATGCTTATCAAACCACCCATTACACAAAGAACAGACTGAAGAGGTACAGATTGCAGTGTCTAGAAAGCTCTTGGTGAAATTCTTTTACAGGGCCTGGTGCATGCCCACGTGATGTTGATGAGAATTTACCATCACCAAATGCAACAACTGTACTGTCACCATTACTATTTGTTATTATTCTCTTACACAGAATACCAAAGACCTTCTGCTTATTAATAAAAGATTTCCATCACAACCAATACCAACAATATTCACCATAAAATCAAGGATTATATCAAGGCAAAACAGAATATAAGCAAGGTAAGAGCCATATTCATAGGCATTAGTGACATCAGAGGTTGGAATATCTAGGTTTTGTATTAGTATTATATAGGTGAAAGATATGTAAGTAACATTATTCAATAATATTCTTGTTTAACAGCAAATTAAATTAACAAAGTATAGCTTGCCTTGAATAACAGCCTGAAGATATTTATTTTTTTCCCAACCACAACTCATGTTTTTTATGAGCATGAACAAACCCTGCTAAGTTCCAGTACTCCTTGTTGGAACAGCTCACAACTTTTTCATTCAAACTCACTGCTACAAACAGATCTATTCTTCCAGGATCCAGTCCAAACACTTTGCATCCATTCAAATCAATATTTGATCCTTCTTCATCAACATCCTCTTTATCATCATCAACTTTCTTCTGCAGACCACCAGTTTGTATGGAGTAAGCAAAGATTCAATTTCAGGTGGTGACTTTATTAATATTAAATGCTTCCATCCACCAAGTTTCCTTTTCAGCTCTGAATCTTTGAATGGTTGTTACTCCTACTTTTTTCAATTGATTTGTAGATGTAATATAAAGCATCAGTATCAACTAATATGTACTTTTGTTGGAAAGAGCATTCAGGCAGAAGTGTAAAGAGACAAAGACCATGTCCCTGGTTATGCTTAGTAAAGGTGTGCAGGATTTTATGAAGACCTGAAAGATATACCACCAGGATGCTTTTACAGATACATCATCAAGAGCTTGATTTTGGAATAGTGTCTGTTGCACTTTCAAGTGAATATATTAAGGTATTGCAGGTGTGATGTAGAGAGTTTATCAATAATATTTGAAGGGAGGAAAGGGAGATCTTGATTTTTCAAGTTGGTAATGAAATGGTCTATAATGGAGTCAATGTGTTTTTTGGGTAAAGGAAATTGATGAATCTTAAATAATTTATATTTTATCCATTTTTTAAGTTGGTTATTGAGATTTGTTGTTATGTGGTTCTGACAATTTGTAACATATTGCCATGCAGCAGAGGAGAGAAGTTGACCTAATGATTTTTTATTTGTCCAATTCATTCCTCAAGGTTGATATTGTGTGTAGAGAGTATCTCAAATATTATTTATGATGGGTTCTTTGGTGGTGCCAGGGGTATTTTGGTATGTAGTTACAGCTTGGAAACATTGCCTCATATACCTGAAATCACCTTCACTTGTGTTAAAAGGAAATTGTTCACCAAGGGCCATGTGATAAAGTGCTGTTTGGTTAGCCAATAAAGAGCCTTCAAAAACAATTCGGGTCATTCTTTCACAGCACTTTGGACTGCAGGCTCAAGATCTTTATCTTTAAGGAATCCTCCAAGTCCAGTTTTTACTGCACATCATTTGTATTTTGTGCCTTTTCTTGAACAGATTTGGATGCACAATGTTCTTGAAATTTACAATGGTTGCTTGAAGAATGTGAATGATCAGTCCCCTTACAAGTTGGACAAGGATGTTCTAGATATTTAAAAAAATATATTAAGAAATTGATATTCACCTTTTTAAATATGAAGCATCATCTTTTGTATAATATACATAATGGCTTCGCCTAATCTGCTAATTCTGTGGATGTAACTTTGAATTGATTGTGGAAAATCATAATTTATAACTTTACTCCATTGAAATCCATACCACATGCTATTATTAATTCAAAACCCATATTTTTCCTTTTCAAAAGTTTAAAATAATTGAATCTCTCTTTTTTATTTTTTTTTTATATATAAAAAAAATACGATTTTAATAATTATTTGAATAAAAAAAATAACCATCAAGTGCATGCATATAATGGAATTTTCTTTTTTGTTCTTTCAGAATAACATCATCATATGAAATAGTTCTTTGTCACGTCCAATTGATTGAACAAACACCAATGCAGGTGGTTTTAAGCCTTCTTGTATCAACTGACGAACTGCTATCAATTTACCCTCTTCTTGTTTAACATAAACAAGCGTCTAATGGTTTCTGTTGCCGCATTCCTATCTATTTAGCTGATCTATCCATAAAAGGATTTCAACCATGTTCCTGGGGTACACTTAAAAATCCCTCTCTTTTAGTATTAGTGTAAGATAGACATATTCTACCCAATCAAAACAAAACGGGGGTTTTTGATATACTGGGGCGGTGTAGGTAAGAGTTTTCAATCAAGTCGCACATAATTAAGTAATAGTAAAAATTTTTTACATATATAAAAGAAATGGAATTACCAATTGTATATTATCCTCGTCCAGAATATATTGAGACAGTAAGTTGATAATTTCTCTACAAATGGTTTTAATTGATGATTCTTTACATCTTTTTTTCTTTCTTTAACTAATTAATTATTAATTAAAAGGACACAGGTAATAAAGTGAGTAGAAAGTCGGTTATTTGTGGTAGTCAAAATATAATACTTGGTGGCAAGGTATCCATACAACTGATTAATTGAACGAATGAACGAATGAATGAATTATTAATACTTAAAAATAATCTCAATTACTTTACTTACTACTTTTGGCTTTTTTTTTTTTGAATATAAATTAGACCATAATTCAAACTGATTGTATTATTCGTGGTGACCTGAGACGTACAGGAACTGGACATGCAGTGGTGGTTGCTATTGGTAGATATTGTCTTTTGACAAAAGGTAGCATTATTAGACCGCCATATAAAACATATAAAGGGTAACTATTTTACGCCCATACATTCATACATTGATTCATTAATTAGAATCTTTTTTCATATTTCTGAAAAAAACATAATGCTTATACATGCTTTATGTACGTGTTTGTAGAGTTTTCAGTTATTATCCGATGAAGATAGGTGACCATGTTACAATTGGTGAAGGTAGTATAGTGGAAGCAGCTATCATTGGTTCATTTGTACATATTGGTAAAAATTGTGTTATTGTAAGTTGTCATTATTATTTT